TCCCCGTTGCATTGACGTTTAAGGCCCTTGAAGCCCCGTAAACTCGTAAAAAAAATCCGTAAATTCGCCCTTGTACGGCCAAAAACGGGGCGCTAGGGTAAAAATGGGTATCAATCGAAAGCTCTCGTTTACCCAGACACAGTCCTGCAGGAAAATTCCACTTTTTCCCCATAGGAAAGTTTGTACGGGAAAATCAAAATTTTGGGTCAATGGGGGGTCCCCCCCGATTTCGTTCAAAATCGGCACACAGGTGCCCCACCACCAGCCGAGAAACTTTCCCCAAAACGGTCCCCGTTGCATTGACGTTTAAGGCCCGTAAAGCCCCCTAGACTCGTAAAATATCCGTAAAATCGCCTTTGTACGGACAAAAAAGTGGTGCTATGGTAAAAATGGGTATCAATCGAAAGCTCTCGTTTACCCAGACACAGTCCTGCAGGAAAATTCCACTTTTTCCCCATAGGAAAGTTTGTACGGGAAAATCAAAATTTTGGGTCAATGGGGGGTCCCCCCCGATTTCGTTCAAAATCGGCACACAGGTGCCGATATTTTACGGATTTATTTTTAGGATTTTACGGTTATTTTATGAGTCTAGAGGGCTTTACGGGCCTTAAACGTCAATGCAACGGGGACCGTTTTGGGGAAAGTTTCTCGGCTGGTAGTGGGGCACCTGTGTGCCGATTTTGAACGAAATCGGGGGGGACCCCCCATTGACCCAAAATTTTGATTTTCCCGTACAAACTTTCCTATGGGGAAAAAGTGGAATTTTCCTGCAGGACTGTGTCTGGGTAAACGAGAGCTTTCGATTGATACCCATTTTTACCATAGCACCACTTTTTTGTCCGTACAAAGGCGATTTTACGGATATTTTACGAGTCTAGGGGGCTTTACGGGCCTTAAACGTCAATGCAACGGGGACCGTTTTGGGGAAAGTTTCTCGGCTGGTGGTGGGGCACCTGTGTGCCGATTTTGAACGAAATCGGGGGGACCCCCCATTGACCCAAAATTTTGATTTTCCCGTACAAACTTTCCTATGGGGAAAAAGTGGAATTTTCCTGCAGGACTGTGTCTGGGTAAACGAGAGCTTTCGATTGATACCCATTTTTACCATAGCACCACTTTTTTGTCCGTACAAAGGCGATTTTACGGATATTTTACGAGTCTAGGGGGCTTTACGGGCCTTAAACGTCAATGCAACGGGGACCGTTTTGGGGAAAGTTTCTCGGCTGGTGGTGGGGCACCTGTGTGCCGATTTTGAACGAAATCGGGGGGGACCCCCCATTGACCCAAAATTTTGATTTTCCCGTACAAACTTTCCTATGGGGAAAAAGTGGAATTTTCCTGCAGGACTGTGTCTGGGTAAACGAGAGCTTTCGATTGATACCCATTTTTACCATAGCACCACTTTTTTGTCCGTACAAAGGCGATTTTACGGATATTTTACGAGTCTAGGGGGCTTTACGGGCCTTAAACGTCAATGCAACGGGGACCGTTTTGGGGAAAGTTTCTCGGCTGGTGGTGGGGCACCTGTGTGCCGATTTTGAACGAAATCGGGGGGGACCCCCCATTGACCCAAAATTTTGATTTTCCCGTACAAACTTTCCTATGGGGAAAAAGTGGAATTTTCCTGCAGGACTGTGTCTGGGTAAACGAGAGCTTTCGTTTGATACCCATTTTTACCATAGCACCACTTTTTTGTCCGTACAAAGGCGATTTTACGGATATTTTACGAGTCTAGGGGGCTTTACGGGCCTTAAACGTCAATGCAACGGGGACCGTTTTGGGGAAAGTTTCTCGGCTGGTGGTGGGGCACCTGTGTGCCGATTTTGAACGAAATCGGGGGGACCCCCCATTGACCCAAAATTTTGATTTTCCCGTACAAACTTTCCTATGGGGAAAAAGTGGAATTTTCCTGCAGGACTGTGTCTGGGTAAACGTGAGCTTTCGATTGATACCCATTTTTACCATAGCACCACTTTTTTGTCCGTACAAAGGCGATTTTACGGATATTTTACGAGTCTAGGGGGCTTTACGGGCCTTAAACGTCAATGCAACGGGGACCGTTTTGGGGAAAGTTTCTCGGCTGGTGGTGGGGCGCCTGTGTGCCGATTTTGAACGAAATCGGGGGGGACCCCCCATTGACCCAAAATTTTGATTTTCCCGTACAAACTTTCCTATAGGGAAAAAGTGGAATTTTCCTGCAGGACTGTGTCTGGGTAAACGAGAGCTTTCGATTAATACCCGTTTTTACCATAGCACCACTTTTTTGTCCGTACAAAGGCGATTTTACGGATATTTTACGAGTCTAGGGGGCTTTACGGGCCTTAAACGTCAATGCAACGGGGACCGTTTTGGGGAAAGTTTCTCGGCTGGTGGTGGGGCACCTGTGTGCCGATTTTGAACGAAATCGGGGGGGACCCCCCATTGACCCAAAATTTTGATTTTCCCGTACAAACTTTCCTATGGGGAAAAAGTGGAATTTTCCTGCAGGACTGTGTCTGGGTAAACGAGAGCTTTCGATTTATACCCATTTTTACCATAGCACCACTTTTTTGTCCGTACAAAGGCGATTTTACCGATATTTTACGAGTCTAGGGGGCTTTACGGGCCTTAAACGTCAATGCAACGGGGACCGTTTTGGGGAAAGTTTTTCGGCTGGTGGTGGGGCACCTGTGTGCCGATTTTGAACGAAATCGGGGGGGACCCCCCATTGACCCAAAATTTTGATTTTCCCGTACAAACTTTCCTATAGGGAAAAAGTGGAATTTTCCTGCAGGACTGTGTCTGGGTAAACGAGAGCTTTCGATTAATACCCATTTTTACCATAGCACCACTTTTTTGTCCGTACAAAGGCGATTTTACGGATATTTTACGAGTCTAGGGGGCTTTACGGGCCTTAAACGTCAATGCAACGGGGACCGTTTTGGGGAAAGTTTCTCGGCTGGTGGTGGGGCACCTGTGTGCCGATTTTGAACGAAATCGGGGGGGACCCCCCATTGACCCAAAATTTTGATTTTCCCGTACAAACTTTCCTATGGGGAAAAAGTGGAATTTTCCTGCAAGACTGTGTCTGGGTAAACGAGAGCTTTCGATTGATACCCATTTTTACCTCTTTGTGACGTCATTTCTAGGGGAAAACGGGTCATAAAGGTTTCCCTCTACCGGGGCCTTTTTTCCCCCTACCGAATCTGTGCTGTGCTGAATCTGTGCTATTGACGTTTAAGGCCCGTAAAGCCCCCTAGACTCGTAAAATATCCGTAAAATCGCCTTTGTACGGACAAAAAAGTGGTGCTATGGTAAAAATGGGTATTAATCGAAAGCTCTCGTTTACCCAGACACAGTCCTGCAGGAAAATTCCACTTTTTCCCTATAGGAAAGTTTGTACGGGAAAATCAAAATTTTGGGTCAATGGGGGGGTCCCCCCCGATTTCGTTCAAAATCGGCACACAGGTGCCCCACCACCAGCCGAAAAACTTTCCCCAAAACGGTCCCCGTTGCATTTACGTTTAAGGCCCGTAAAGCCCCCTAGACTCGTAAAATATCCGTAAAATCGCCTTTGTACGGACAAAAAAGTGGTGCTATGGTAAAAATGGGTATCAATCGAAAGCTCTCGTTTACCCAGACACAGTCCTGCAGGAAAATTCCACTTTTTCCCCATAGGAAAGTTTGTACGGGAAAATCAAAATTTTGGGTCAATGGGGGGTCCCCCCCGATTTCGTTCAAAATCGGCACACAGGTGCCCCACCACCAGCCGAGAAACTTTCCCCAAAACGGTCCCCGTTGCATTGACGTTTAAGGCCCGTAAAGCCCCCTAGACTCGTAAAATATCCGTAAAATCGCCTTTGTACGGACAAAAAAGTGGTGCTATGGTAAAAACGGGTATTAATCGAAAGCTCTCGTTTACCCAGACACAGTCCTGCAGGAAAATTCCACTTTTTCCCTATAGGAAAGTTTGTACGGGAAAATCAAAATTTTGGGTCAATGGGGGGTCCCCCCCGATTTCGTTCAAAATCGGCACACAGGTGCCCCACCACCAGCCGAGAAACTTTCCCCAAAACGGTCCCCGTTGCATTGACGTTTAAGGCCCGTAAAGCCCCCTAGACTCGTAAAATATCCGTAAAATCGCCTTTGTACGGACAAAAAAGTGGTGCTATGGTAAAAATGGGTATCAATCGAAAGCTCTCGTTTACCCAGACACAGTCCTGCACATTTTTACCTCTTTGTGACGTCATTTCTAGGGGAAAACGGGTCATAAAGGTTTCCCTCTACCGGGGCCTTTTTTCCCCCTACCGAATCTGTGCTGTGCTGAATCTGTGCTGAATCTGTGCCAACTTCCGTTACATCCTGGGCATGTATGACCTTAGCTCGCGGAATGCGCTGTCAGCGGCTGTCAGCACGACCGTGAAACACCGCCCTGGAAGGTCAACCAATGACCAAGGACCTTAAAATCGGGTATCATCGGCTTCGTCTCGTCACTCACGGGCAACACGTCTGTTTTTTTCCGCGAGCTCTAGCTTAATCAGGGGCCGAACGGCAGGGGGTCCAACCGACACCTCCCAGCCCGCGAAGGCTGCGCCACGCACCGACCCGGAGCGGGCTAATTGGTCGACAAAAGCAATTTGAAGTGTTTTCAAAGTAATATTTAGGCTCGGGTTGGGTGGGCTACCATTTCTATTTTTTTTTTTTTAGTTTTAAAAAAATATCGTTTCAGGGCTGTGACGAAAAAATAAGTGGCCTAAATCCGATGAGAAAACAGGATTTGGGGGTACCCTAGGTTTGGTTACTTGCAGGAGTTGCCCCCCCCCCCCCAAAACGCAAGTCTGGATCCGCCAGTGTGGCAGGGAGTAGTCTTTAGCTCATGACAGCGCGTAAAATCTTGCCAGTGGTGAACTATTCGGTGAATAGGTCTAAGAGAGTTGAATGATGTTGCCAAAACACCTCGGGGTTCCGACATCCACGGCAGTCTTCACACATCTGTGACTCCCCCCCCCCCTCTCCCGCAGAGTCTGACCCGTCCGTGTCTGAGTGCCGCTGCGCGCGCTGTGGTCGTCTGCTCGGCTGTCGGACCGCCCTGAGACGCCACCTGAGAGAGGTACACCCTCCTCCAGAGAGGGCGAGCGAGGCCGCCCTGCGCTGCAGCCGCTGCGGGAAACAGTTCCGCAACCAGTGCAACCTCAAGGTGCACATGTTGACACACTCCGGAGTGAAGCCGTTTCGGTGAGGAGGGAGGGAGGAGGAAGAGACCCGATAGGGCCTTTGGTATTGGACTTATCGAGTATCTTTTTGCAACTTGGAAACGTTTAACGTGAGGAAAGGGATATTCTGGAACGGCCCGTATCGATCATTTTTAAAAATTTGTCGGTTCTCGATGGGTTTATCGTTAAGTCAAGATCATTCAGGACGTCAGACTTCTGACCTGATTGATCTGACATTCCCTTTTGCCCTCCCAACCCCCCCCCCCCAACCCCCTCCCCTCCACAGATGCAGTATAGCCGGCTGCGAGTCAGCCTTCACCACCAAGCAGTGTCTGCAGCAGCACTACGGCCGGGTGCACCAGCTGCGAGGCGGCGCCGTCCCTGCCATCTCCCGCTCCGTGCCCTACACGGTGCGGGGGTACTCGGGCCAGCTGCCCGACCCGCCGCCCACCACCCGCCGCAGGCTCCTCTGCCGCGGGGACCGGCTGCGGTTCTCTGACTTCTCCGTGTCTAGGGACCTGCCGGAGCCGTCCAGCGGCCCGCGGCTGATGCAGGACGCGAGTAGGTCGGAGTTGGATTGTATTGAGCCGAGTCTGATACTGGGTGGTCACGGATCGGGGACGAGTGGAGGGGAGAGGGGCGATTCGAGAGAGGGGGCGGCAGACTGATACTGTGGGACAGGACGCAGTGATCTAATGTGATCAGCTTGGATTGTTTTGTCTATCGAGTGAGTGAATGTAATGAAGGAAGTCAAATGTACGCTTCACGATAGCCCTCACTAATCGGAAGTTCAATTGAACGAAACTTGTATTTTATGGCCATGGGTATGGTATACTTCGACTTTGTCTGGTGCCTGCTGCTCAGGAACTTCGACATATTGTCTTTTGTCTCGATGTGATGCTTCTTGTCGAACAAACGCCCTTACCGACGTAAGATGTACCTAAATATTGAAACATGTGATATCTCACACGCTTCGTGCACCCACGACTCATATTGTGCATCAAATCGTTGTTGAGTGTCATTGTTGTGCTCTGACTTGAGGTTAAAAAACTTCTGAATGTTAGCTCGGCTCAATCTGGAAGAATCTTTGGCTCGGCAGTGGCACTAGCCCAATATACCTGCTTTTGTTAGAATAAACTGATGTCATATACCAGTTGTGTGTGTTTAATTATCTAATATCTTCCCAATCGTAAGTACACAAACAACAGGCATGAAAAATACAGGCTTTTATATCGTTCCGCTAAATCAGAAACGTGAGTACATGCGGGGAATGCTGGGATAAATCCACTGTTTGTATTTAGTGGTCGTGTGTTAAGCTAATCTTTTCCAAAAATGGCGCACTATTGACATCTGTTGCGCAGATGTCAGCATGCGGAGTAGCATGGGCAGTAAACAATTGAAATTTTTCGGTTTGGGGCTTGATCTTGGTGGGTGTCATTGCGAAAAATATCATATTAGAGCTTGGCAGTCAGGAGATGAACTGTAGTTAAGCGTGAAATACTTCAAATTGAAATTTGGCTGATCTTTCTTACACTGCTGAAAAAGAAAAATGAGAGCAGGATCAAGTTTGAGTTTTCCCAGGTTCCGGCTGGGCTGGTGGAATGAAAAATAAATGGAATTGAAATGCTGTAGACTCATGTAAAACAGGTAGCTTACTTTAAAAAAATTGTTTGCCTTATCAGGTTTCACGTTCCCCAGGTTGATCAGTGAATTACAGTATTTTGATTTAAGCTTGTGGACTATACTGTGGTAGTATGCCATTTACGCCAAATGTTTGTGTTCGTTTCATTGTTCTTAAGGTGACAGTAAATGTTTCAATTTATGCAAATATTCCAATGTGATGCCTTACAAAGCCAGTGACATGCCTGCTACATTGACATTACACTATTTTTATTGGAGGGTATGATAATCATTCATAATGTTACTAGAGTGATGGATTGGATCATGGGACAAATAAAATGATAACTGACTAAACTACCTACCTACTTTTTCAATTATTCGAATGTGCTCTATTTTTAAATGGTCTTGTTAAGAGATATTAATTTCTGACCATTCATGTTACTTATTTGGCATGTTTTTGCCCTTCAAAATGTATCTGCTGTATTAATTTTTAGTTTCTATAACCTAAACTAGGCACTAATTAATGGTGCTTGGGAGAAGAAGAGTTGTTAGCATTATGTCCATGCATTTATGTTCACATGTTCACCAATTTATGTTTATCCATTTCACCTATTGACCTTTATGGCCTACTTCTGAAAAGCCAGCTATCACAGTGTATTTTTCAGCTCCACCTGCTCTAGAGCCCACACCCAGCACACCTAAGGAGCAGCCATGGGCCGGCCACGCCGTGGTGGCGGGCGGGCCTCCGCTGGAGGGGGTCGAGCCTCCGCCTCGGGCGGTGCCGGAAAACACGCCGGCAAGCACGGGAGGCGCGCGGCACGGGACGCCAAGCACGCGGCGCCCTCGGACGGCGGCGACCCAGACCGCCTGTCAGAGCAGGCGGCGCGGCTGGAGGTCACCGACACCAGCGGCGAGGACTCCAACTCCGACACCAGTGACTCTGACTCCGACTCTGGCTCGGAACGTGTGGAGCGCGCGGCGTTCCCAGTAGCCATGTGGGACCTGGAGCACTGTAACCCGCGCGCCTGCTCCGGTCGCAAGCTCTCCCGTCACGGTCTCGTGCGTGTGCTGCGGGTGGGTCAGCGGTTCGGCGGTGTGGCCCTGACGCCTTCTGCCACGCGCTGTGTGTCGCCCGCTGACAGAGACGCCGTGGCAGACTGGGGCCTCGCTGTGGTGGACTGCTCCTGGGCACGGCTCGCGGAGGTACCGTTTGGAAAACTCCGCTCGGGTCATCCACGACTGCTTCCGTTTCTAGTGGCGGCAAATCCGGTCAACTACGGAAAACCATGTAAACTCTCCTGCGTGGAGGCACTAGCGGCAGCCATGTTCATCACCGGCTTCAAGCAGGAAGCACGCCTGTATCTAAGCAAGTTCAAGTGGGGGAAGCAGTTTGAGGCTCTGAACTCTGAGCTGTTGGAGACGTACGCAGCCTGTAAGGATGGTGCGGAGGTGGTGGCGGCGCAGGGGGCCTACTTGGAGAAGGTGGAGGGGGAGAAGTCGGAGGCCAGTCCGTACGATGACCTGCCCAGGTATACTTCCTCAGAGGACAGTGAAGAGGAAGGTGGAGAAGGTGACGGAGAGACTGCTGGAGAGCGAGATGGTGATGGTGGTGAAAAGGACGCACAGGCGAGCGGGCCGTGTGATGACGCTAAGAGTGCGGAGGGGAAAGAGGAAGTGGTAAAGGGGACAGACGGTGAGAGGACACCTGAGTGAGCGAAAACATGACGCATCGCGACGATCACATGTTTGTGTGGGGATAGGTTCCCTTTGGTGTTACATGATCGGTAGGTATGTTTGAGGGATGAAATTGAAACATTATATTCTGATATTGAGCGTCAAGGTGTGAGAAGCGATGTTTTTCATTGACTGATGGCAATCGTTGTTTAAATAGCTATACGAGCTCCGCAAAATAACCTTTGTTATAAATATGGGTCAAATGTTTTTATAAGGCTTGAAAGCGCACCAAGTGTCCAAATGACACTGGGGATTGTTTCTTCCCTGGTACCCGTTACATGAATAATGTGACCTGATTTTTGCTTTGTTTTGTGTCGATGTTTTGTCAACATCAAAACTATAAAACGCAAATTGTGACTTTTCGAAAATACATTTTCAATAGTAAGGTTGTACCAACCTTGCGTATATCAATGGCGTAGTTTGATGATTTGTAATTGCATCGATCGATGTGCACATTGTTCAGAAAGGAACAGAGTGACATTTTTCCGTCGATCACCGCTCACTGCTCAGACTAGTTTCCGTTTCACGCAGGGCACACCGGGCAACCTGAAGAGCTGCGACATTGGAAACTTCGAGCTGTCCTGTCACTGAAGCGGCCGCCGTGTGGAGACCGAGCTAGGACAGGAGCTGTTGGTGAACAAGAACCTGAACAGGCACTTATAGAAGGCGAAGCACACAAAAGTGGACACATGTGCGACATTGATGCAACGCTTAGGTAGCGGGTTATTTTGCGATAATCCGCCGGGCGAGACACGTTCTTAGCGGCGGAAAACGAGCCGTAGCTGCTGACAGCAATCTCACAAATGCGTCGTGATTGTAAACTGGAAACGGCTCTGGTGAACCCGTATCGTTGAAGCTCTCCTTTCCCTCATCCTTCGAAGGACAGTCAGAGCCCTCCCGCCGTCCACGATGCTTCTGGGCCACGACCGCGCCGTCAGTATCAGCCTGCTGAGCCTCGCGGGTCTGGTCTCCGCCTACGTGCTATTCTGGCTGCTGGGACTACCGTTCGTGGATGAGGGACACCCGCTACTGCTGTGGTTCCCCTCCCCGCTCTGGGCGGTGGTGCCGGCCGCTGGTGTCGTGGTGGTGCTGCTAGCGGTGGTGGTGTGGGAGATGATAACGGCGCGGTGATCGAGATGCCGTGGGATGGACTGTGGGGTGGATCGAGACGTGGGCTGTGGACCGAGACATGTGGACATTAAAAGTGTGAAGCTGGAAGGTGATTGACCATCGAGTGACGTTCATCATACGCCGTTCAGACATACGGTAGGCTGTGCTGGTTGTTTTGTATGTGACTCGATCTCCTCCTCACTGTGAACTGAAAAGCAAACTGTGACCTGATGGTCTCAGGAAGGACATGATCCGGCGACTGAGGCCTGTACTGACTGCTGATTGACGGTTTTTGATGAACCAACCAGCCACTGTGATGGACTTTGACAGCGTCACCCAAAGCGGCCACCGACTTCGCAGTGATCGATGTCACCAACGCAGTGGAATTGTAAGCATGTTTGTAACGTGTGCGATCAGTTAATGACTAAAAGCATTGTCACGCCCCGCATCGCTGTATCAAATAACATGCAGAGGGAACAGCGAAGAATAGTTTTATCAACTAAAATAGCACCAAATTTTTCGTAGTGAACTCCTTGAACGAACGGTACCGACGACTTGACTTTAATAAGCGTCGCGATGTGCTTCCCAAGGCGACGAAAGAAATCGGTACAGTCGAGACGAGCGCAGTTTGTATGTTATGTCCCTGAATGTACGCACATACGATTGTTTTCAGCATCAGCTGTAAAGCGACTCGTTTTTATCACAAACGATATTTCACGTACATAATATCTATTTACATACCCCGTCGGTCACGGTCATACACTGCACAGCATTGAGAAGACTACTGCCCCGCCAGAAACTTTGAGAGGAAGTCCTTGGGCTTGGGCTCCTGTGTCTCCTTGAAGTACTGTGACATCAGGTGGTGCTTCTGCTTCCAGATGTTGACCGTCTCCTTCAACTCCTGCTGGCCCTGTAATAGCACAGAACAGTCAACTTTACAGCAGGGAAGAGACCAATATGATATTAAGATGCCTCACGAAACACAGAAAAGAAAACAGCAGGACATTCAAGCGCTGGAACGTCAGCTGGCGAGTAGCGAAAGTGGTAACTTTCAGCCAGTACTGGCAAATGTGATAAAGCTAAATATGCTCAAACAACACAACCAAGTTTTCTCACAACGTTCACAACGCGATTGATCGCGGTTCGCATCCTCGAGGAGTCTCAACTTTCAGGTAAGTAATTACACTGATATTCAAACGTAGAATCGGCGTGCATCGCCCCCAGCCTTTACCCTTACTGCGACGAATTGTGTTATACTGTAAAGGCCTGGCTACACTATGCGTTTTCTTCGTGCGTTTTTTGCGTGTTTTGCGTGATATCGTTCTAGAAAAAAGAACGATATTACGTTTTTGTGATGTTTTTCACCTTAAATTTTAGTTACATAAGAGTTATATTAGCTTTTGTATATAACCAAAGTAAAAATTATATTGTTTATAACTTTTTTCCTAGAACGATATTACGCAAAACACGCAAACCTGCAAAAACGCACGCAGAAAACGCATAGTGTAGCCAGGCCTTTATGTATATCCCACCTTGATAACCAGCGCGTCGATGACACGGATATCCTTCACGTGACGGTTCTCCTCGAACTTTTCGCGGAGCTTGGCGCGGCACTGCTCCACCGACTTGGGGATGTCATAGTCCATCACTGAAACATGAGAGGTGGCCTTGTGAGCGCTTCCAATTCACAAAGGTGGCTAAAGTCACCAAGGTTAATAGGTGCATTCTTGCATCTTCAGAACAGGTCCCAGGCAACAGGCAGACTGCAAAGCTTGGCAACAGGGCTGACAAACCACAGCAGCAAAGGTGACAAATCTGCACCAACTCACACAAACTCAGCTAAAAAATATATACCAGCCTGCACCAAGCAATACATATGTATTTACCACAAGATTTACAAATGTGCTTGAAATTGTAAAAACTGTACCTTATCCAAAGTGAACTCTTCCCTGCCTGAACCTATGATGTCTCCTGTACATCATTTTCATGGTCAATTAAGTGCCAGCATGGCACTTCAGCATGGTACTATGTCATGGCCAGTACCTCATGACACAGAATCTGCACCAGCCCACAGTAAATCTATGCCATATCTCCCATGGGATGAGTGCCCCTGAAAAGCTTCATCCAAATTACCACGCTTTGCATTTTGAAGACCCAGGAGTGTACAAAGATGTCACAAATATTACCAGAATCATAGATGCTTGTTTGAAGCATTTGATGACAAGCTGCACCAGAATGAAAAATCAATTACCCTCCTAGGTTTATAAATGAATTGGGTAGGAATATGTCCAGTTTTCTATTTCTTCTATTTATTCAGATTCAAAAGATAATGTTGCTTATAGTATCTTGATCTACCAACACGTAATGAAGACTTAAGAGATGCAAGAATAAATTACATTATCTATCCACACTTATTCCTGAAAATATTTACCTATGTAGGGAATTTGTCTGTACCAAGCTTTGTAGAGGCCAAACACCCTTGACCTGGCTTCTTGATTGTTCTGAGATATGAGAGGCTTGACATGCCTTACTGTCTTCTGGATAGCCACCCTGTTAGCCATGTTGTTTGCCAAATATTAATTTATTTATGCCAGTAAGCACACTGCTTTCCTGTGAGAAGTAACAAGCAACCAAGGCCCTCATGAAAGGGGAAAGATGGGAAAATTTTGACTGTCGCGAGAGCGCAACATATGTCAGTCAAAGTTATCATATGGTAGCTTTGTTGACGTCATAAATATATTTCTTTTACTGAAGATTGTTTCTTTTATTTTCTTTCGACATACTTATTTGTGAATTACTTTTGAACATTGCAGTAACTTTTTCAAACGAAAAATAATACTTATTGCGAACTTGAGCAATGTTTGAGCACATTAGAATAACACTTTAAAATCAGCTCCGAAGTTGTCGTAAAGGATTGTCAAGGAATTTATCAAAAGTATCCTTCGCTTTGGAAAAATATATGTGCCATATTCCGCCATAACTGATATGGTTTGTACCTGAGGGGTGTTCACGGGCACCGCACACTGCTGCGTGCGGTGTGTGCGGTACGTCCAGCAGGCGTGGGGGTAGGGGATGGGTAGGCGGTTCTGACGTCACGGCTGCGTGCGGTGGACGGTCCGCTGTGGCCAGTCCCGACCGGCCACAGCGATCGCTGTGTGCGGTGACGGAAGGGTGACGTAGGGACGCGGTGGGCGGAGCTCCGAGGCTGTGTGCGGTCCGACCGCACACAGGGTCCGTGAACAGCCCTCTGATTTACTGAATCCTTGGAGAAGAGAGCGTTTATGTCTGAGAACGATAAAAATCAGAGAGAGGGCGTGGTGGGGCATGGGAGGTGGATGTATATGCCTGATGTGATATTTATCTGAAACTCTATCACTTAGCTGCTGTTTAATTCTTTCCAATAATCCAGCACTTTCTCTGTTATTGTTTATCTGCTAGTGTAAGAACCTAGTTCAAACTGTTGCTTTCTACACACCAGCACATGGTAAGAAAAGCAATGGAAGTCATTGATAATTTGATAGTCTATTTTTTAGATTAGCTAGAATGTTGCAATCTTAAATTTCAGGAGCTAGAGTTGTGGTTGATAATCTTGCTGCATACTGATCGAAGCAGTGTATGCGGTCTCGCCATGTTTGATCTTTTGTTTTTCTGTCCCCGCGTAATGTAAACTCGGAACAACAATAATTATCAGTACTGAAGCAGATTTAGCAAATAGCAAGATACAGTGAAAATAAAAATTTATGTAGATACAGTAGATCAACACTTACATTGCCTTCTGATAAATAATGAGCTGCCCAACAGAGAATTGAAGATGACTTTCCCAGCATCAAAATCAGAAATAAAATATTTTCAAGTCTTTTCCTAAACTTGGTGATATCCTGGCATATTTAATGATGTTTTATGGTCTCATTGTAAGTGCTCCAGTGACCCAAAGTGTTCCAGTAACATCCAGCACTCCAGTGACTCCTTGTCTTCAGTGGGGCAAGGTCTCAAGGTCTGGTCTGCTTAGTCAATGTGTGACAGATGGTTCTAATAGCTAACAGCTAGGGATTTTCAGGATATCCCCAAACTACTGGCTGCTGAAAATAAAAGCTTAGACCAGCAACATATGAATTAACTGCTGCTTTTCCCAAAGCTCAATAAACCTCTGATCTGGTCTGTTGCAAAGAGAATGATGTCATGGTTAAATCTACAAAGCTGTATTGGTCAGGGTCGCCTGTTGTAATCCTCCTGCTCCTTAGAATCCAGGCCTGAAGATCAGTTGCATCCCATTTAGCCTACATCACACATATGTGATGTATGTGTGATGTGGGTCATATGACATGTGTGATCATACACTGACATGCTGACAGTGTGTGACCATATTCAGTGAGGTGTGCCTACAGCAGTCATGTGGCTGGTCTTGTGGGGCTATGGCATTGCATATTTAACTTATGCTGGGTCTAACTGTATCATTATCAGATTTTCAGCTAGCTTTGACAGCCTGACATTATGCTTAGTTGTGCCAAGACCAATAAGTTTCCCAAATGTTCCTGTCTCTTTTTCCTTGATGACCTGAAGGTTGACTGTTGAGCGTGCTTTTTCAAATCCCCTTCACTGCTGTTCAGCATCTGACCCACTACACATGATGTGACCCTGCTACAGACCATGGAGGTCACCTCGCTGGAGGTGCTGGAGGCCCTGATGACCGAGTTCTTCGCGCCGGGTACCTCCAACTCGCGCAAACACCAGATCGAGAAGGTACTGGAGGATTTCGGCCGCCGGCCCGACGCCTGGAAAAACTGTCTGCTATGCATCGCAGGCACCTCCAATCCCTACGTCACGATGTTTTGTATGACATCTCTTGAGGTGAGTGAGCATTTGGAAGGTTAACTCTCGTAAAATAGCTATTCTGCAAATATATGTTTCATTGAATAGGTGAGAATGGCACCGGCAACACGCTTCAGCTCCAACATTATTGTTGTGCGGGTTGATGTGTCCAGAATGAATGAATGAATGAATGAATGAATGAATGAATGAATGAATGAATGAATGAATGAATGAATGAATGAATGAATGAATGAATGAATGAATGAATGAATGAATGAATGAATGAATGAATGAATGAATGAATGAATGAATGAATGAATGAATGAATGAATGAATGAATGAATGAATGAATGACGTGATAAGGCTCTGCAGTCTATGTAGGTCGGCAGTCTGAGGTCGCACAGCTCGCGGTCAGCTCGATCGGTTGAATGGCGTCGGAAAAGAGGCACCACCGAGATTCGAACTCGGGATCTCCTGTTTACTAGACAGGCGCTTTAACCAACTAAGCCATGGCGCCGCGGTGGGCGAGCGCGACCTTTGTAGTTTGTAGAATAGTCATATGATCAGCAGCTTACTTGTAGTTTGTGACGTCACGTGTGAAAAGTGATAGTGAGCATTGATGATGTAGATTAGGTACGGATGTCGGGGGATCGAAAATGCGCACTGACTTGGTGCTGTCAATCTGCATTTATTACCTCCGCTGGGACTCGCACGCCTTGTGGTATTGTTGATGACTGGTTGAGAAGTTTGCCCTTTTTCATCCCGGTTTTGGGCTTCCTGTAATCTCTACGATGTTATCGGGTGTTTTTTTTTTAATAATTTGTGATAAATTTGTTTGAATTGGTAGTTTGTTACGGCCCTTCCTCGTAGCTGCACGTTTAATGCCTCACTATTTAGGGCCTTGGCCTCACTAAAGTTTCATGCAAAATCGAAAGATATGAAACCAGTAAAACGCCTTTTGGGCGACTAACGGAGCGAGCGAGAGGATGGGCCTTGCACGTGCGAAATTGCGAGGGGTACCTCCAACTAACTTGTCCACTGCACCCTACTAACCGGTCTTTAGCGATGTGCCAAATTTCAGCGCAATCGGCCTAGCCGTTCTCGAGATCTGGGAGCGCCCCCTGCACGTGCGCACGTGCTGTAGCACCCCAACCTTAACACATGCAGATGAATTATCTGATGGAGACCTAACTGTGTACCGAGTTTCAATTCAATCGGCCCAACCATTGTGCTGTTATTGAGGTTGCAATTTTGGGGGTTCTTAAAAAATGTCCAACTTTACCACGCGCCACGTGCGGTGGTTGGCAAGAACGCATGGTGGCCATCACACCACAGAACTTTTACGTCCAAGTGACATTCAGTAAAGAAGACCGCTTGTCAATCGGATGTCCCGTTCCTAAGATATTAGCTTTTGAAGAGCGTCGCCGGCCGGCCGGCCGGCCGCTCATACTCAGGATTTTCCCTTAATTCAGTATGAGACTCCGCTCGCTCCGTAACAAACGAACTGCCTGGATCAGTAGTGCCTTGATCCGCGGTGCAATCTGGGATCATTTTGATCGGTGGGCTTGGTGGTTTATGACAGTTTGCCTCACTAATTCTTATATTATTCTCTTGGCGCCAACTTATTGTGATTACGTTTCTCGCAATTTACCACTTCCCCTCATCGCTCCATTTGTGAATCATTCTCTGGTATTAGGCTCGCTGCCAAAACTGTCCTGCTCTCTTCCTGGTCGCCCCCCCCCCCCAGTGCCGCGCGTGCGGCGGCGACGTGCCAGCTGTTGTGCAACGGTTCATTGTCCTGCACACTGCGGGGTGTTACAGACAGTTACAGTGGTCCTACGCTCGCCGATGACTGAGTGCATTTACAATGTAGTGGGGTGACCTCAGTTTAGTGGTAGCGTGAGTGAGATGTGCAAGCGTAGATCTGATGCTAGGGATAGTGGGTGCTATTTTCAGCATCCACTTTCTAGTACAATGGTGGAAGGGTGATGGGTCAACGGATCGACGGGTCAACACTCAACGGATGGGTGACCAGGAATAAGCCAGTTTATTTATGTAGACCCACGCAGTTCCCACCTAACGTATTGCCACTCAGTGACATTATGGTACGATACCGTTCCTAGTATTTAGTTGAGCCAACTCGTGACACTTATGCTTACTTGATTCTCTTTCCTGAAATCATATTTCCATCCCTAGTTAGCCATGCCATCAAATATTTTCCTCTTTTGCGTAGCCCGCGCCCCCACCACACCCCACTTCCGCACTACTGTGAGTTGTAACTCGACTCCTCCTCCCCACCCCATCCCACCCACACCCTCCCCTTTCGCAGAGTGTGATCAATCGCCGCTGGCTTGGTATGAGTCTGTGTCTCTCCGTCTCTCCCCCTCTGTCTCACACACCCTCTCCTTCTCCTGTAGAGCGTGATCAACCGCCGCTGGCTGGGTATGAGTGTGTGTCTCTCCCCCTCTGTCTCACACACCCTCTCTTTCCCCCACAGAGCGTCATCAACCGCCGCTGGCTGGGTCTGACTCCGGAGGCGCGCGCCGAGATCCGCGGCAGCGTGTACGCCCTGTGTCTGGACCGGCGGCCGCTGGCGCCCTACCTGAGGAACAAGGCAGTGAAGCTAGTGGTGGATATCGCCCGTCTCAGCTGGCCACAGTTCTACCCCGACTTCTACAGCAATGTGCTCACGGTGAGAAGAACGAGTGGGGATATGTGGGGGAGAACTTTGAAGATGGGAGAGCAAGAACGGAAAAGATGGTTGATAAATGCTTTGAATGCCCTGATCTGACCACCCTGATCAGAGTTGCCCTAACTTGTAACATATTCTGGATTGTGACAGCAGTTGACCTGACTTGACCTACCTATGACTTGACCTGGCATACCCTGTGACTTTATCTAACCTGATCGGTCTTGTCTTGTGACCTGACCCGACCCGTCTCCCCCAGCTGGTTCAGTCGTCGGACAGTACCCTGCTGGGTCTGCAGTTCCTGGCCTGACCTGACCTGATCTGACCTGACCTGACCTGACCTGACCCGATCTGACCCGTCTCTCCCCCAGCTGGTTCAGTCGTCGGACAGCACCCTGCTGGGCCTGCAGTCCCTGACCTGACCTGACCCGTCTCCCCCAGCTGGTACAGTCGTCGGACAGCACTCTGCTGGATCTGCAGTTCCTGACCTGACCTGACCTGACCTGACCCGACCTGACCCGTCTCTCCCCCAGCTGGTTCAGTCGTCGGACAGTACTCTGCTGGGCCTGCAGTTCCTCCTGACAGCCGCCGAGGAGCTGGTGGCGCCCCGGGAGGACCTCAGCTGCGCGCGCCGCACCGAGCTGCGTCAGCTGCTGCTCAGAGAGGTGCCCGCCACGCTGGTGGTGCTGACTGGTGAGATAGCGGGGGAGTCGCGGGTGAGATAGCGGGGACTCACAAGTGAAATAAGGAGCTCACCAAAGTTAAATGTCGGACTCTCACCGTTATGCCTGCGATTGCTTATTGTGAGGGGTTTATGTCAAGTATTGGATTCGCTGACTTGCAAAATTGATAGCTGTTGCGCATTGAAAGAAAATTGCAAGGCTATAAAAGTCTGTTATTGAAACTCACAACCTTTTCAGAAGCCCAGTATTGTCATTCAGCTGTTGTGATTCATTTTATGAAGACGCAATTCGATAGGCATTTTAGGAGATTCTTTGAGAAGACTCACTAGTTGTAATTGGTGACTGTCTATTGTCTAACCATTTATCTTCTCTACTCACAGGAATCCTGCGCTCGGTGCTCGAATCAAACAAAGCCAACGCCACGGCCACGCCTCCTCCGTCTCCCGAGCAGCCGCGCTCGCAGCGCCGCCCTGGCGGCGGTCCGGCGCAGCTCTTCTCGCCGGCCGCCGACGCCAGCGTTCTGCTCAGCTGTATGCTGAGCTCGGACGCCGCCGAGAAGAACCCGTTCTGTCTGGTGGCTCCTCTGGACGGAGAGACGACACAGGTGGTGGCGCTGACACTCAAGTAAGGGAGGATCGAGAGAGGGCGCGAGGAAGGGTGCGAGTTTCTCTTATGCAGTTGTGGCTGATATAAAATCGTGGCAATATTTGTGCCCAACGATTATCGCTCTTTGTTTATCAATTACGATTCAAAGTCAGACCGAAGTTACGAGTATGTGAAGACCGATCTAAACAGGTATGTGGCAGCCCTAATGTGGCAACCCACATTAAAACCCCTTACAACCACTAGGTCCACTAGCTGCATAATGTCTGATATGCTGTCCCATCTAACACCCCCCCCCCCTCGACAGGTGTCTGTGTCAGCTGTTCTCCTGGGTGCCCCTGTCCACGGTGATGACGCCCGAGCTCATCACCGCCGTCTTCCACTTCGCCTCCCTCGGCTGTGCCCGGGACGGTGACGAGACAGACCCCGACCTAGACACCTCCTCCTTCTGCCGCGGAGCCGGAGAGCCCCTGGGTGTCATGGCGCTGCGGTGTGTGAATGAGATCATCAGCAAGAACTGCGTGCCGCCCGACTTTGAGGCGTTTCTGCTGCAGCTGTTCAAGCACACGTTCCACCTGCTGCAGAGACTGCTGGAGGAGGACAGCAAGACGACCAACAAGCTCGCCGAGGTCGACCCCGAGTGAGTGGGTCGGGTCAGGCAGGGGTGGGGTCATGGGAAAGAGCCCGTTTTTTAATTTAGTGAGGGGAAAGGGATTGAAGCTTCGTTAATAGGCCGTGTCAATGTGACTCACGAAGTGTTGACGTTATTTTGGCGTCGGGAGAACGTAGCTTTATAGTGTTATGGGCCTGATGTAGCAAAGAGACTCAATCTGTAATCCTGCTCGATTGTTATTGCGTCACTTTTATTGGCAGTTCCTCACTCAGCGGTGTGCCACACTTGCTACGTTATCTCCTGTTATTCCAACTGTAGTTTATAACCGTTACATCTGCTATACTTTGAAGGTATTTACAATCTCACTCCCCCGTTTTCTCCGCCAGCTACCTGAGCGGTCTCACAGAGTTCCTGCGTCTGTTCGTTACTCTGCACCTGCACCGGCTGGAGGCGGCGCCCCAGTTTCCCGTGCTGGACCTCCTGGCTCTCCTGTTCCGTTACACTTTCCTGCAGCCCACGCTGGAGACCTATTACAGCTGTCTGGAGATATGGGCCGCGTTCCTGGATCATCTGACGGCCAAATGTCAGCTGAAAACCGAGAATAGACACGCGGTGGAGGCGAAGTGAGTGGAGTGTGGGGGGGGGAGTGTGGAAGGGAGTTAAAAGAGTTTGTGGTGGCCAATGCTGAGGGCCGATAGGCCAACACGATTTCATTTTGAAGTATTCGTGCGTAATAATGTCTTTGCCGTTATTTACAACTACATTGGGAACAAACGTGACATTAGAATGTCCGATGATCGAATTCATTAACCTCATGACGCGACATAGGTTAGGCGACAAAACTCACCGCCACATCCTTCGTCATGACCAAACCGCGCTCATGGCGGGGCGGTTTTGTAATAGTTTAGGCACAGTTGAGGACGCATTGCTTCACCCTTTGCCTCTTTATCGACACTCATTTGGCCTTCATCCCACCAAATCAACGCATGTTACTGCCTAGATGGACCATGTGAGATCTATCGCCAATAATGTGTGGGCTCAGCTGCCGTCCATATTTAACCTCCACCGCCGCCCTCTGCTCAGGTACCACGAGGCCGTGATGTCCCTGGCGGGCCAGTCTCTCCATCGTACCCAGTTCCGGCGGCACCGTGCCGAGCTCGAGGGTCTGGATGACGACAGACAGGACCCGGACGGTGTCACTGAGTGGGGTGAACTGCTCCGGATGACGGCCGATATACTGGAGAGGGTGGCCGCGCTCTATCCGGGAGATGTGCGCGCTCTGCTGGTGAGAGCAGGGAGGGACAGAGGGGGAGTGTGTGGCCGCGCTCTACCCGGGGGATGTGCGCGCTCTGCTGGTGAGAGCGGGGAGGGTAGAGAACGGGAGGGAGAGAGAGGGGGAGTTTGGCTGCGATCTTAATTAGGGAGATGTGCGCGCTCTGCTGGTGAGAGCGGGGAGGGTAGAGAACGGGAGGGAGAGGGGGAGAGGGTGGCCGCGCTCTTAATTAGGGGGATGTGCGCGCTCTGCTGGTAAGGAGAGGGGGAGCGAGGGGAAGTGTGTGGCTTCGCTCTACCCAGGAGATGTGCGCACTCTGCTGGTAAGAGGCGTCGGGAGAGAAAGGGGGATAGAATGGGGATAAAAAGGCATCAACATTTTACTGTATAATGTATGTATGCATCTTTAACGTATTGCTGCGCTTTGTTTGTATCGCCAGCTGAGAACGATTGGCATTTTACCTTTGTCCCTGTGTACGAACGTTTACCACCATTCCCACTAAATCTATCATGGACCTCTCGTCATCTCTCCTCAGCTGACCGGCTGGCGTGAGACTCTGGAGCCGTACGTCACGCTGCCCAGCCTCTGTGAGGCGGGGCCGGGCGGCCGGCGGCTCCGTCTGCCCGGCGGCGGCACCGCACACGAACTGGAGGCGCTGCACGGCTCGCTGAGGGACCTGGCGACCCACCAGTATCTGCTGGGCCGGCTGGCGCCGCTGTTTAGCGAACAGGGACCCGACGCCGGGCCACTGGTACATGAGTGAGTAATAGGGTCGAGGAGAGGGGAAGGCAAAGAGAGATGAAGTGATGGGGGATGTGGAGCGAGAGAAGGAATGGGCACTCATGGCCTGAACTCCGGGAGCCCTGAAATAACAAATCATGATCATCGCGAGAGAATGAGTGTACTGTAAGAGAGAAAATACCGATGAAATTTCTTAAAAGTTCACCGCAGCTTTCATTCAGATATTATTGTTATATTTGTCATTGGTGTTCTTCATTTTCATCTGCATGTATTCACAGTTACCCGTCGCTTCCCGTACAATCTTCCATGGTACCTCCCCTCACTCCCCCCCCCCTCCCCACAGACTGGTGAGCGCGGCGGCGTTCGGCTCCTCCCAGCTACTACACGAGGTGGAGCTGCCGCCGGGCGCCCTGCGTCCCACCCTGATCGACGTCCACGCCCAAAGCCTGGCCACACTGCGTCCCTGGTGCCACTGGATGGTGGCCGCCCAGGCCGGGCGCGTCACCACCGCCGTGCAGGTGAGTGAGGACGGAGTAAATGATGAGGAGTGGGGTTATTAGGATTTATAGTTGACACTCATTTTTCTTTCTTATATTTCCTCATTTTTATTTACAGATTCGCCTTCATCTTTTAAATTTGTAAAGGTTTGGTAGACATGCTATATTGAAGCTTCGTGGAGGAGTGCTCGTGTAATTTCAAGCCACGCGCTTACGTGCAATATTCATTTTGTTCGGGTAGCTCGCCCCTGAAGCTTCGCGTTGGAAAGGGGCAGTGGAAAAGAGGCACCACCGAGATTCGAACTCGGGATCTCCTGTTTACTAGACAGGCGCTTTAACCAACTAAGCCATGGCGCCGCGGTGAGGAGAGCAGAACCTTCAATTCCGAATGTGCCTGTATCCTGCCGGAGATTCACCTGTCTGATGACGTAATACGTGATATCACAGACAGCTCTCGGCTTGCGCAATCTCCTCCGAACCAGACGGGACAAGCCAGTCCGTCTTACATTCACACATTGTAAATGCTGCTGAATAAAACGCCTAGTTCTCAGGCTCACACGTTTTGCGCTATTTCTTGCACATTGACCTCAGATGACCTCTGACCTGACCTGTGCCCTCAGGTGGACGCTCTGGTGGCCGAGATGACGGTGGCCGTGTGTGACGTCATCCAGAGCCGGTCGCCGGAGCGGCTGGTGCGTGCGGCGGTGACCACTCTGGTTACCATTACGGGGACGGTTCGGTCGGGGGCGCTGGTCGACTGCCCGCACATACAGAGACTGTATGGCAGGGCCGGGCAGATGCAGCTGCAGAAACAGGTGAGAACGGCGGAGAGAGGGAGAGAGAGAAAAAGAGAGGGGGAGACTGGAGAGATGGGCGAAGGAGAAGTGGGGTGGGGTCGGCGCAATTAACCCTCGCCCGCACATGGGGGGGTGGTTGCCACCCCCCCCCCCCCAGGTAGTCTTTCTGCTCTGCACTCAACATTTTTAGAGCTAGAAGGCTGATTTTTCGTATAGCTGCTCCTCTATCCTTTCTTGATGTCCACTGAAAATTTCAAGTTTCTGTGATTTTTGGTTTCGGAGATATGACCTTGTTTTTCAGGTCATGTCATGACCCAAATGGCCAATTCTCAACATCTTGCGTTTGCCATGGGCCTTATGAGCTTTTGACACCCTGATTTCGGCCTTTTTTGCCAGTCTTACCTCCTACCTATCATGGAACATGTTGTTCGACGATGTACAGGGGTCAAGGTCAGGGTCAAGGTCAACCTAGGTCACCTAAGATAATTGCGTTTTAGGCAAGCTGAATTTACTTTTTTTGAAGTTTTTTTGACTGCATTTTTGGTAAAAGCTTCTCAGATCATGATTTCATGTAATATGGACCCAAAAACAATCGGTGCACACATCAGTATACACACAGACACACACAGACATACAAACACATATAATTGACCTTGACCTAACTTGACCTGAAATGACCTCAGCAGCAAAATTCTGGTCGGGAAGTGTGACAAAGAGGTTTTAGCTGGCTTGGCACCAGAAAACAGCATCGTCATCGGTATTTGATAAGCAGCACACTTGATATCCAACGGTGACCAAAAACAGCAACATTTTTTAGTTTGACCTGACCTGGAAGGTCAATGACTGACCTGAGAAGGTAAAACTGGGTATCATTGGATTCGTCTCTTCCCAAAGAATCTTTTTGGTCTTTACTGCTAAGCTCTATCTCCAACAGGAACGAAATGGGGCGGGGGGGTGGCAACCACCCCCCCCCCCATGTGCGTTCTAGGATGGGAAAATGGCATGTGCGGGCGAGGGTTAATGGTATATTTTATGTCGTCTGGGAGGTCATTGGGTCGGTGACTTAAGAAAAACTTGACATGAACGCCATGTATATTGTATAAGCCGCTCCCGCTCAGAAGTTCAGGGTGGATAAGTTTGCCGGAGGAGATTCACGCCTGCTGAGGGGCGGCATTGGACGGTTCAGCCGCTGAGGAGTGAGGTCATGGTATCACTATCGGCTGACCCAATTTCAACTGTCCTCCGGGCAAACTTGGCTCTCACCTGTCACTAAAGAGGCACCACCGAGATTCGAACTCGGGATCTCCTGTTTACTAGACAGGCGCTTTAACCAACTAAGCCATGGCGCCGCCGAATGCATTATCGAATATCTTATTTCCAGAAGCACATCTCATCGTAACGTAATCCATCTGTTGTGATGTCATCGGCTGACTTCTCTGTAAAGTGAAGTCGGGTTCCGAACCACCATAAAATAATGACCTTCGCCACTTCTCTCTCCTATTTTTGCCCATATCGCTCCCTCATATATTACAGCCCCTATAAACACCCCACCCCTCCACTAACCCCGCCCCCTGTCGCCCTCGCCCCAGGACCGCGTGCTGCTATACCGTGCGCTGGCCAACCTGCTGCTGCTGCCGTGGCTGCGGGCCGGTGACCAGCTGTGGGACCAGCGGCGGCGGCACCTGTCCGTGTTTCTCGACTCGCTGACGGCAGAGTTTCGACGACTGCCGAGGACGCCCGGACTGGCCGATAGCGCCGAGCTGCAGAACAGAGGTAGGGAGGAAGATAGGGAGGGATAGAGAGAGAGAGGGAGGGAGAGAGTGAGGTAAAGGGGAGTCAGTCATGAGGGGTACGACGGTAGAATCTGGGCCGCTTTGGGGTATGTGAAAGAAACTTTTTTTGCGATGACTTGTTAATTTGTTTTGTTAATGAAAGAAACTAGGGTGGCAGGATGTATTTTATGAGCGAACCTTGTCACGCTTTCCCTTGTTTCGTTTCGTCCACTCCAATGTTAAGTGCGTCCATTTATATTGTTCAGTAGCCGTGTCACTGTCACTTATTCTCCGAGTCTGTCTTCATTGAGTTGTATCCACTGCACTACTACCGGTCCATCTGTGCAGAGCAGTCTGGGCTGCAGTCTGCAGCAGCTTTGGTTAGCGCGATGATGGCCTTCATTTGAGGGATGATGCGCTCTATGAGCCATGAGGCCACCGCACCACGCTCCATCGGCGTGATCTGTGTTCGTGCTCCTAGCATGGAGCCGTTGTCATGGCCTAACGTGCCACCCTCCCAAGTTTTGCAGTTTTTGCAGTAGTGTCATGAGATGACACTACTGCATGACACTATCACACAGTGTTCTAAAATTGGATTTTGGTTGGGTGTGCCGATGAAGAAAGAAAATCCAAGGATGAGAAAAGGGAAGTAAATAACTGGAGTATTTTTGCAAAATGGTGTAATGCCAATTGTGAAACAAAAGGATGAGGGTGCATCAACTGTCAAGTGTCATGTAAACTGGCTTTTGGGAATCCACGAAACATTTTTCAGAGATGAAGTAAAGTCGGTCATTCATATTTTAGGGATGAAAGTATTTTCCCCATCAGGTGTGATTTGCCACCAAAAAGTCTGAAAATGGAATTACACTGCTATCACACATTGTGTGATATGCTTTCTTTTCTACCGTTTATTTAGATATGTTTTGTGATGGCTCAGAAGTAACTTTTCCAGAAATCAAAGAAAAAATGACCATTTGCGTCATTCCATTTACCCGATGTTATGTTTTGTAAAGTTTCTCGAACACCATTATAGAAAATATGATTCGATGAATATGCGTCTAACATTGATATATTTTGTCTTTGCTGTTTGCTCAAAATATTTGTTATGATTTTATTTTATCCTACCATGATTTATCACTCTTTCTACCCTTCTTCCCCCGCAGCCAAGCCGGTGATCGAGCAGACGCTCTCCACGCTGTCTGAGATCGTGTCCAACATCCTGGGAGAGGTGACCAAGACCAAGCAGCTGTGCTACGAGTGTCTCCAGGAGACCATCCGCGACTCACTCTGGGTGTTTGGAGTGTTCGCCACGCAGTCCGGTGGGTTGAGGAGAGGATGGGAGGACGGGACAGATGGAGGGAGATAGAGGGGAAATGGAAAGGTGCTGGGGAGTTGAAGAGGAGAGGATAGCAGTTGTGATAGGATGTAGAAGAAGTGGGGTAGTAGAACTCATAGAAGTAGAGAAAGGGGAACGGAAAGGGGACTTACCAGCGTCCGTAGTGGGCGAGCGGTTAGGAGGGACCAATGTAATGGCGCGAAAACGGTAAGAGACTAATTGTTCAAGCTCATTGGACTCGAATAATTCGAGTATATTTCAGCGTTCATCCTATATTCTCAACCTTCAGCCTTTTTAAGTAGTCCTCGTATCATTTGTTATCGCTGTTAAAACTTCCTAACTGAACTTATCGGTAGCTTCTGGTTGTTTTCCATCCTTATCCTCCACTCTTTGTGCGCCCTCCCTTCACTCCCCCTCTCCCCGCAGACGTGTGCCAGGAGGTGCTGTCGTTCTTCCTGGCGGCGTTCGAGTCGCTGCGCGCCCAGATGGGCTCCCAGTTCACGGAACAGTGCGTCCAGGTATTCCTGGAGGTGTTTGGACGCGAGGACCTCGCCAGAAACATGCTGGAGGAGGGTAAGTGGAGCGTTGGATGATGGAGTTGCGTGTGAGAGGATGGTGGGGAAGGGGGATGAGGCGGCGTTGATGGGTTTGGAGTTTCGGATTTCAAAACATGTTGTATTGTGATCGAAAGGCTTGCGGATTAATTGGCGCATGTTTCTATTTCGTTGTTCTTTTGCAAGTCTTCATTCTGGCTTTTACGTGGCATTTTATCGTTTTCAGCCTTCCATCGTAAGCTTTAATTGCGGTTTATCAGCCAGTTGAATATAAGTGATGTGTCGTTTTCTGTTAACTCCATATTTAGCTCGGCTTCTCTATATAGTTTACATGTACCGAATGCCGACAAGTTGTCACTCGTCTGCCCAGGGCTGCGGAGTCGATGGATTTTCGGCGACTCCGACTCCGACTCCAACTCCGGCTTTCAAAAACCAGCTCCGACTCCGACTCCGACTCCGGGCAGAATTGTCGACTCCGACCGACTCCAACTCCCGACTCCGACTCCGCAGACCTAGGAGGGCTGCGGAGTCTCGGTGACTCCGACTCCGACTCCGGCTCGGGTTTCTAAAATCGACTCCGACTCCGACTCCGACTCCGGTCACAACTGTCGACTCCGACCGACTCCGACTCCGACTCCGACTCCAACTCCGCAGCCCTACGTCTGCCCCTATTCATCAGGTGCTTCTACAACATGTACCCCCCTCCCCCATAGGCTCGGCCGGTTGCGCGGCGCTGGAGAAGTTCCTGCGTCTGCTGCGTCTGATCGTCAGCGAGCCCTCGGCGGCGTTCCGTCGTCTGCTGCCGGCGGTGCTGGAGCTGGTGCTGGACCGACTGTACCCCCTGCTGGCCCAGCGGCCCGCGCCCGACCTCAAGGTGCCGCTGTTCGAGCTGCTGGCGGCCGTGCTGGAGCACAACTGGAGGCACTTCTTCAGGTGAGGAAAATCACTATGGAGGCTATCATTGGGGTGGCGGCCGTCTGCGGCGTTAATTTACTTTGGGCAATGCTAATTTTGAACGGCGGACACAGCCAGAGGTTGGCTGTGGTAGTGGCTCATTCGAAAACATGCAAACTATTTGTTCAACCACTGGACCAAGGTTAGGTGAGCCGCTCAAACGACACCCTCAGTGACATTGCGGAGAATTAGTGTTGACCTCCGTAAACTTTCTAGAAGTTGTCCACTTCGAATCCTGCCGGCATGGGCTTTGGGCCATAGTACATCGCCCTTGCAGGGTGCTGGAAAATGGTTGCTAGTGTCCTTTATTCGGCTTTATCGTTGCCCGCGTCCTGAACTGCGCTCCCGTTTCTCCAGAAGCTCGGTTCTGAAGACGCTCAGTCCCGGCGCCGAGGAGGAGGTGGCCAACGAAAAGCAGTTCCTGGCCATGCTGGAGGCCATGGGACAGTCGTTCCTGCAGCCCGACATCAACGTCTTCAGACTCAACCTGGAGACCCTGCAGATGCTCAACACAAAGTGGAAACTCTACCACAAGGTGAGGAGACCTTAGCGAGGCTAAAGTTAGCAAGCTAGAGATGTGTAAATTCTAAGTAAATCAGTTATATTGCTGTACCCAAAGATGCAGTAAAAATATGTTTGTTTTTTATGGTATGTGACCGTTGCACGATGAAACATCGCACACAACAATAATATTCCACCTGATATCAGCATTTCATGTCAGCGACACCGCCGCTTCTGAACGTGAATTAGCCTAGCGGCATGCATCATGCATTGAATTCATCCAAACATCTGCATAGAATTCCTTTCCTCTCACCTTCAATCTTGATATATTCTGTCCTACCTTGTGTCATTTGTTTTGTACACACCCTTGGCGCGGCGCCAGAACTCCCAGCCAGATCTCCGCTCGGTGCGGCGCTGTTGGCAGCTGAAAGTGAATATCCGGTCACTCTCTCTCCCCCTGTGTGACAGTGGCGATGTGAATCGAGCTTACAGTCGTGGATAACCTCGGGAGTGCTGTGATCCCGGACGCTGCATAAATTTGATGGATGTTTAATGCTTACTAAGTGACCCAGCTGTACTGTCGCCTAGTCGAAAGGGTGACGTAGAGATGCATTATTTAAGCTAGCTGGTTGGCCGGGAGAAGAGGGGGGGGGGCGGAGGTTCTCGGTTTCGCCTTGATAGCACGGAAGTTGGGCGTCGAAGGGCTCATTGGATAAATAGTATCCACGTCTTACTAACCAATGACCCGTGTGGGGTGAAATCTTATTATTCCCACGTCACGTTTTACCATTGTTATATGTTTTAGATCCATTTTACAAAGCGGAGGATCGAAGACGTCCTACCATTTTTGTTGCTTGATTTCTTCATGCTGTATGGCGACAAAGATTGTAGGTTGACGATTAGAAGAAGTGTCGAGCCTTTCGATGCCTAGTGAAACGAAGTGTAGTGGTGACAGTGGGAAACCTTGTAGTACTCCACGAAAAGTTCAATGTCATTTTGCAGTGCAACGTGCTTTTGAGGTGAAAATTTATTTCGAGCGGGCTCGGTGGCTTAGAAACTAATCACGTCTGTATGTAAGGGTCTTGCTTGACCCATTGGGGGTCAGGATAGGTCAGTAAAGAGGCACCACCGAGATTCGAACTCGGGATCTCCTGTTTACTAGACAGGCGCTTTAACCAACTAAGCCATGGCGCCGGTTGGTGCGGGTCCAAGTTTCATTTTTCCCGCACCATCGGTCGGACTTCTGTCCGACTCTGGTTTTTGTCTAGACTGACATTGTATTCTTCCTCTGACAGTGCTCAACTAACTTTCCCCTCCCCGCTTCTCTCCCACAGCCGGTATTTCGGCGCCTTCTTCTGGCCCGTTTTCTGACTGTGCTCATCCAAACCCTCCTCCACCGCTCGCACGACCTGCTGCGAGACGACATCGCCTCCACGGTGCACTCGCTCGCCGCCGTCGACCTGCGGGGGTTCTGCGAACACTTTGTGCCGGCCCTGCTGCGCGACACGCCGGGGTTGGATGAACAGCAGCGAGGGACGCTAGCCGAGCTGCTGGCGGAAGAGGAGGACGTACCGACCTTCTGCGCCGACCTGCAGAGGTTTGTGAGCGACCTGAGGTACTACCGGCTGGTGAATGAGAGTATGGTGGGGTAGGGAGAGGGGACAGAGGCGATAACGTCAGAGGTAGAGAGGAAGAAGGGAAGGGTTGATAGGTTTTCGATGAAGGAGATATGTCGAGCTGTGAGATCGAGATATTTATGGGAAAGTACAAGAAAGAACAATTAGAACCGCCGTGGGACAGATGTCTCGACCCTGTTAGCCCAGGAAGAACAGAGCAAAGTTTACAATTTGCGAACGTACCAGACTAGTATGCCCTAACTGTTACTTCCGAACCATGACTGATGCAGGCTCGATTGTTTCTCACGCTCAATCGAATTTTAAGAAGCGTTTTGGTTCTCGCATTAGTTTTTTGCTTTGCCGGTTCCAACACTAGCCGTAAGGGTTTGTTCTAAAAAGTGCAGGTTGTATTGTTGCTAGTGAAGCGTGGTAGCTCGTCGGGGCTCACTGCCAGAGCCAATGACGAAGGCGTGATCCTAAAGCGCTGGGAAAACAAAACGTGCCATGACTTACATGTCGGGAATACTGTCGCGTATCTCAATTAGGACCAGTGAAAGAAGCAACGTTACCATAGATTGGTGATTGTTTTACGGTCCTGTGAGGAGGGATGGAGTGGAATATTGTCCACAATCTGTCCACACGCTGAATAAGCTGTCCAGTCTGTCCACACGGTGGAGCTGTCCACTGTTTGTCCACATGGCCATGTCTGTCTATCTGTCTGTGACTTTGGCAGTCCCCAAAGTGTGTTTATAATCCCATACCGTGTCCCTTATTGGTAACTGTCGGTAACCTGTGAAGCCGTTCATGCTGCGCCTGGCTCCCGTGAGATCAGTTGTTCTTTGACCAAATGTTTTCGCTGATGGCACCATATATTAGACCCGCACCGCCTCTGAAGTGCTGGGTACGATCATTCGTCAGTGTACAGTGTGTTCGTGACTAGTTGCAGAGGCGAGTCGGTCACGGCTGACGATATGTGTTTGTTTTGGGTGCTTCGAGCTAAAGATAGACTGTTTGTGCATACCCGCAGCCATTCCTTTCTCATTTATTTTTCATTAATAACTATGTCCCCCGTCTTTGAGACGACGTAGGTCAGGAGTTTCAGCAATCTTTTTTCCCTATTTTGCATCAGCCTGTAAAAAAATATTGCTTAGAAATTTTAGATTAAGTTATCCAACTTTCTATCCCTTCTTTGCCACTCAAGTTTTCAACGGGATTATGACCTTATCAGAACCCGTCGGTTCATATGCGCGTTCTGAAGTGCGACACTATCTGTTCGTCCCGATTACGCAACACCTGAGTAACTCTGGTATCCACCAGAGCGTGGTCTGTCAGGAGCGTGAATCCAGCTTGTTTATATAAGTGGGCGAACCAGCTTCATTTCTGTCTGTGTGTACATAGACTACGCGAGCTTTTAGTTATGAGTGGAGTATGTGTCGTGTCCGTGCCAAGGGCCCAATGTTGTGTTCCTGAGTTTATCGTGTGAAACGCGAGGGGCGTATTGGATAAGACTGTGGACCATGACCTAATGGGACCAGAGCGGTCTCATTTATTGAACTGTACAGATGTGATGGTTAAATATGCGTCGAAATTCAAACCACGGTTAAGAGTGATGATTCGATTGTTTGGTGATTTTAAAATAGCTATACGTTGTCCGAGACTGATTGTGTGCGCGTGTTTTGTAGTTTGTACCGCACAATATTTTTCCCTATCGATTGTGTAAAAAGCGTTTTGCGTGCTTTTTCGACCAAGTCGTCAGTCAATTTCGTAGTTTCGTAAGTAATGTTTGAAAGACGTCTATTTTTGCGAGCGTGTACATAATGTGTAAAACTTATGCAGCGCCTTTACATTCTGTAAATATTGCATTCCGTTGCTGTGATAAACAAACGAGTTTGTTACTTATCAGTTGCTTGTAAGTATTTTTACGTATAATACATTTTCAATAAACGTGTGTGTTGTGATGTGCGAGCTGAGAGCTCAGACCGATTATGTGCATTTTTTAAAGTAAGAATCTGTTTCGATTGTTTGACGTGTTTAGTCGTGCGACCTTTTTCTTAGTATTGCCAGGAAGAAAAGGAGCGATGCATCCAGTATCCACTATGTTCGCTCGATTGGTTTTGCTATTAGGACGGCAAACTACAGGGTGTCTCAAAAGTTCGTTCACAGGTACCAGCCATGCTTTTTTGTCAATAATTCTGAATCAACAATTAATTAACGGTCGAAATTTTGCATGGGCATTCGTAACAACCTTCCTCAAGCAGTCTCATTGTTTTCAAGCGCATTCGACCCTTCATGAGCTCACAAAAAGGGTTCATCTCTGACCATGGGTCAGGCATGAAAATGGAGGTCGCAAAATCGGGTCGGCTGAGAAACTCTCTATTTCAGGAGTAATGGGAATGGTTAAGTCGGAAATGACCCATGGCAAACTGTCGGCGAGGATGAGTACAACATGATGATCATCTAATAAAAACGGTGGCTAAAATTTTTGAAGGACAAAACCATGCGAGACTAACAGCGTTTTGAACGACCCTCGTACGGCAGCAGACTCGTGCTCCGGAAAGCAGCTTAAAATGAAGTCATAACTATTGAAAACTGACAAGAAGCTCACAGACAGAGGTTACCCAGTTTAAAAAATTGCAGGTCATCGCAAAATAAAGACAAAGTATCATTTTAAATTGTTTATTTTATCTATAACGCTTAATTTTGGGGGAAAATAACACGAAAATCGTCAATGCCAAGGACAGCTGACCCTCCAAAAGTGTCAATTAATGTAAATTTTTATCTTACGAAGTTTCAAGAGGCAGATCTGGAGCGAATAGCTTTCTTTTAGACACAAAATCCCGACAAAACCGCACAATGGACAGGTTTTGGCCGTTTACAAAGCAGAACGTCTCCTGAGGAAAACACTCCGCAACCCAGTGAAGATCTTGTCATGGGGAATGATGAGCGTTTGGGATTTGCAAAATTTGCACAACGTGTCTAAGAAACAGATGGCCGACACATTCTTCTACGATATGCTGCGAAAAATTTGCCCCTGGCACTTCCCATTTGTTCAGGAATGGGGTTGTTTCAAAAAGGAAAATGGTGCTTGGGAGGTCGGCGCCAGTCATTCATGAAGGAGTTAGCGCCAGAGAAGACCTACAAAATACTCACGGATGGTGTCGATGCAAGCTGTCGGCTTTCAGGGAGAAGCGGATGTTGCTGGGGAGCTCGTCAAACCTAAATCCGACGCAGAAACTGCAGGGGATTCCCCTACAAGAGCTTGAAAGCTGGTAACCTTTTATCAGCCTCCGGCAGCTGACGGAGCGACGAAAATCGGTATGGACAAATATTTTTGGAGATACAGCAAATAGTTTGATTTCCAACCTTCCGAATCAGTTGTCAAAGCATGCATATTTGTCTAGTGTGCACACAGACACCAAAACCTTAGATTTTTGGCCGGTTCTTATATGCTTTATGGGCATGGGAAATGTGTGAACGAACTTTTGAGACACCCTGTAAATGTTGAATGTTGAGGGTAACGAAGAAGGTGTTTACTTCTCAGCGTGAATCGGGAACTGGACTGGACACGGGGCGACCACTGACCAGTATTACCATTTCAGACCTGGGAAATGGCCGGGAGATCTGCTGTAACCCCACCTCTGGGTAGTGGGTATCTCCCCCGGATGTGTCGGGAGATGCTCAGAATATGTAGTAATCGCGGATAAGAGTTGTGCGTATTCCTCTGTGGGGATATCTCTAGTGACGTTGCATGAAGCCACGTAAATTCCAGCACATGTGACGCGTCTCTGGTGGCGGTTTCAACATCTAGGATAGCACCGTTTCAGTCAGTTTCAGGAATGGTCCTCCAGACGACTGGTCATGTCGAAATGGTAGCCATAATTTTACATAAACAGGCCCTATTTCGACATGACTTCCTGTCTTGGCGAACCAGTGTGATACTCGGGCTTGCATGGGTCTACGATTTCGGAAGCTGGGGATGCGAGATATTCGCGCTGCAACGGCCACCCATGTGACACCAAAGCTGCTCAAAAGCTCGTATACATGTATTTCAGAGTGCATGAAACAGAATGTCACTACAGGAAGACATGAAAATTCACAAACATGCATGATAAACACTGCCAAAATATAGGCGCTGCATACCAAAAAGCACGCGGCACTACTAGCAATCAGCTGTTTAGTGGGACGCGGTCTCGAGGACCAGTCGCAATCCTTCAGCTCTCAGTAAACCCTGTACACTGTATAGCCGTATCCTTTCCTCCTCACATTCACGTTCCAAAAAGTCCCCGTTTCTCGCCCTCGCAGTGCTCACCACTATTCCGTCTCTGGCCGGCCTCCGTGGACTCACGGTGCGAGCCTCTCGTACACCCAGCCATCCTCACCGTGTCTGACAAACGGCTTGGTCAGGTCATCCGCCGTCCGACGACGGAACCGGATCCGGTCGTGGATCCGCGTCGTCTGACCCTGCCAAAACTCCACCTCCATCGGCTCGACGATGTAGCCGCCCCAGTTCGGCATGGGGATCGGCATCTTGTCCGTGCCGTGCTTCATTCTGATGAGGGCCTCCTCACCCTCCAGGTGGCTGCGATTGCGAACCACGCTGCTCTGCGCGCCCAGCAGGGCGCCGATTTGGCTGGCGAGGGGTCGCGAGCGGAAGTACTGCTCGGAGACGTCTGCGGGAAGTCGGCGCACCTTACCCTCGATACGGACACTCCGGTTAAGAGGCTCCCAGTAGAAGGTCAGAGCCGCCAGAGGGTTGGAGTCCAGCTCGGCTGCCTTCCGGCTGTCGTAGTTGGTGAAGAAGCGGAACCCGTCCCGGCCGAAGCCCTTGAGGAGGACGAAGCGCGCCGAGGGCCGGCCGTCGGTGGTAGCCGTGGAGAGACACATGGCGTTGGCCTCCAGAATACCGGGCGTTTTGGTGGCGTCTTCAAACCAGGCTCGGAACTGGCCGATCGGCTCGCGCGACTTCAGGTGTTCCTCCCTGAACGCGTCGTCTCGACACCGGTACGGCTTGCGCATCGACTCGACGTTCACTTCGGGCGACTTTGGAGAGAAGTCCATGTTGTCCCGCCGGCCGATGACCACCAACTGAGATCGATGGCACGGAGCGGCCAGCAGCGGCCGGCCGAGACGGGCCAGCGGCGGCAGAGCGGTGACGGCGCGCATCCAGCGCCGCCGGGTCACCCAGGGGTCACGCTAACCAACCGCCGGGGGCACTGAGCACGGGCGGGCGCACCACCTGACCGGCTGGGCTCCAACTGGGGCGCACGCAGTGGGCTACTCTGGGAAGGGAGCCTGTTACGTAATTTCCCACCACGCATGCGTGACGTAACAGCTGTTTTCTCAGGCACAGCCACAGGTGTTTTGAAGGTGTGTTTTGTGAACACGTGTGCATATAGCTCAAAATTGGCCAGTTAGTTCCGTTGGAATCCTTCGCTTCCCGGTAAAATTAGACAGTTATCGTAAATCGTTGCATTGGAGATAGCGCTGAATATTCCCTCCATTTCAATTTTAATTTGGTAGCATCTTCTCTTAAGCTATATTGTCCGTAAAATACGCATTAAAGACATTTCTGATGCAGAAAATTGTTCAATAGTTCCGAAGACAAGCTGCTCACACTCAAATACAGCTTTTTCATTGGCTTATGCTATGTTGTCATGGAGATTCGAGACGCTGTGGCTGCTCGTAAATCGTGATCACAATACCACGAACACCGAGACATTTCTTATTTTCACACGTGCTGCCGCATAATCCTATAATAATTATTTATTTTGTTTGATTTCTGTGGTTGAGCTAGAATTGGTTTTCGTACGATTATAGATCACTGATTATAGAAGACTACGTTCAGCTCCTATAATCTTTATGTTAGGTTTCACTCGTTTTACTTAGAGTTGAATGTGTCATCTTCCAAGTTCCAGGTACCTATTATTTTAGCTTTTTTTATCAATCACGCCGCCGAAGCCCAATGGTAGCAACTAGCAAGTGTTCTTAACAGCAATTTTAACATTGTTGCTCATATTGAACTTAAAGGCAACAAAATAATTAACAAAGCTATAATTTCCATTTTTTATATATTAGATATGCCCGAGAGCTCAAGTTTTATACCACTTTTTGTCTTTCATTGAGTAAATGTAAATTTATGATGTCTTACATGGAAAAACGATATTTCCCAGTGTATCAAATAATGCATTTGGCTATTGTGCTTAATTAGATGAATTTGTGTTGATTGAGGCATGTGCAGATGCTAAAAAGTTGCTAAATTTTAGCTAAAGGCAAAGTTGAATCTTGATTGTTCTATGTATGCTGCTGTTGTATCTGACTACACTGAATAGCAATACATGTCCACTGTGGTTGTTGTACCACAAGTGCTGCTTATTTTCAGTCATGTCCGTTCCTGTGGAGGTTGTCAGCTGGGATGACGGCAGTGCGGACGCCAACACCATCAGCTATGACTCGGAACTGCTTGGCAGCACTGCGAACATTGAGACAGAGGAGGCGTAAGTGCTGTGAATGCTTATGGCGAGGATTCATCAAAACTATTTTTGTTTCCTTTAGCTTTATTTTGTGAGCATTTAAGTTTCTACCTTGGAATGATATTTGCTTTAAGAATATATTACTTGTTACAGAATACTGTTTTGTTGTTTGTCTGTATTTAAAAGCCAGGAAAGCTCTTACACGATACTCACGATAGTGTAATATTTTAATTAAATTTACATGGCTGGTGCTTTAGCAGGGACGTCTAACATTTCTCTGTTTGCCCCATTTGCCAAAAATGCCTAACAAAACAAGGTAGGCATAAAAACTGACCTATCACTATACCCTGCAGGCTGCAAGGCTGCAATACAGTGACCTCCCCCCCCCCCTGTGCAGTATCTGCGCGCGCGTGGTGCCGGAGCTGTGCGCGCGCTCGGACGTGGCCGCCCTGCGTCAGCTGACCACCGTGCTGTCGGAGATCCCGGAGCGGTTCCTGGTGGACATGCTGCTCACCACTCTGGGCTCCGCCAGTCCCGGTGAGTGTCCGTGGATCGGGCTCATCTGGGCTGGGTAGGCGGGAAGAGTGTGCATATTACATGCAAGAGCTCCATATTACAGTATGGAAACTGTAAACTGTGCTCAGTGCTATGGAACTGCTCTGTGAAACTGTAAAACTGTGCCCAGAAATATTGATAAGTGATTTCCGGATTTGCGTTTATATAGGCAGCACTAGACATGGATTTGCATAGGAGAACGAAATAGGTTTTGAATGTGTGGTAAATACCTAATTATACCTAATTTGTCATTAATTGGGATGATGTTTTTGTTCATTGTTTATTGGATAATTTACTTGAATTAACCTGAAGCTGGCCTGATAGATTGACTTATAAAAGAACAAAATGGAAGTTGCTCTGTGCTTACCTACACGTTATTAATGCGAGAATTTTTTATCGGTAAACGAGCAACGTTTGTTGCTCATCACGGTACTGAAGTGACACTAATCAATTGTCATCACTCACCTCCAGTCAGGGAGGAGGCGCTGGACGATATGCTGCGCGTGCCGTACACGCCGGCCGTGATGACGTCAGAGCTGCGCCGACGTCACCTGTCTGACGTCACCCGGCTGGCCGGCTACGTCACCAAGCGGCTGCAGACCACAGAGGCCGCACTGGAGCCGGTGAGTGACGCCGTCGGTGCACTGAAAAAAAATATTTCCTAGTTATCCGGCCACTTTTAACTAACGAAATTCGAGTAGAGTTGAAGTCTGCCCACATTTTGCTTGTGAAAAGTGCAGTCTACTCGCATTTTGTTAGTGAAAATTGGCCGGATAACTAGGAAATTAGTAACATTTTTTTTTACAGTGTATTGGAAAGCTTGCGACTGCGTATCGACGTAGGCTCTGTGGTTTATAGGCATTGAAACAGCCTTGCTTGGAACGACAACCCTCATTTAGCGTGAAAGTTCGCGCAACAATTTGTCACGACCGTCTTGCAGTAAGGGTGTGGCGTGCCCAAGCACTCGCCGGGGCAGGCGCTAAACTGGTTCTTGGGCAGAAAAGAGGCACCACCGAGGCTCGGACTCAGCGATCTCCTGTTTCCTACAGACAGACCAGTTTATTCCTTGTAGACAGGCGCTCTAACCATCTAAACTATGGCGCCTCGGGCCACCTGCGTTCCTTCTATGCTTCATATCGATGATCTCGATGTGATGTCTGACTTTCTCACGCACTGAATTTAGTGCGTGAATTTTTCGTGCATTTTCTTTGCTTTTTTCCGTGCCTTCTAGTGCGTGCCTTTTCTACCTTGTGTCTGACCAGTCGCCGACCGTGCTGCAGGTACTGCTGTAGGTTCTGCTGTAGGTGTCACTGACCAGTGGCTGACCATGCTGTAGGTGCTGCTGTATGTCTCACTGACCGTGCTGTAGGCACTGCTGTATGTGTCACTGACCAGTGGCTGACCATGCTGCAGGTACTGCTGGAGTGGCTGACGGTGGTGGTCGACTCGCAGTCCACCAGCTGGGCTCTCAGTGACGGGGAGGAGGCCTGGGAACTATTGCACGCTATCGAGGAGTGGCGCAACAAACAGGTCAGCGAGCGGGCGCCAGAAATAAAATATAGACTGCAGTGCACATTATCGTCGGTTTCATTCAGGATTCTGCTGTCGTGTTCATTGATTTAATCTAGACGGGGTGAGGGATGCCGAACAGGCTACCATGTTATCTACTTCACCTGGAGATGAGGTTGTATTTGAGCTTGACCAGCGTAACTTTTGACCCAGCATTTAACCTGACCCCTGGCCTGACCCCTGACCCCTGACCCCTGACCCCTGACCCGTGACCTTCCAGGAGGTGCAGGCCCGTGACCTGCTGTGCCTACAGCGGGAGATGGATCAGCTGGTGGCGCTGCACAAAGACCCGCCCTCCCCTCCCGCCGCTGACTACGCCGTCGAGACGCTCTACCTCTGATGACGTCATGTGTGACGTCATTAGTGGTGCTGGGGGTTGGGTATGGAGGGAAGTGTCGGTGTAAGCCAACTATTTTCAGTGGCGAATTTTGGGGGAGGGTCTGGAGCACTCTGATATGAGCGGATTTTTTGTTTCTTTCTGCATCCTATGTGAACACTGAACGGCGATGGTGTTTTGTTTGACAGACGTTGAAGAAACTCAAATGACATTGTTGATTGAATGAGTTTGTTCCGGGTTGCACCCGGACCGTGTAAGCTATGGGAGGGAGATAATGTGACGATTGTCGAGTCCAGGGGTGTAACTTTTGCTTTTGAGATGGGGGTGCACTTGGTGATGGGGGCGACCTTCAATGAGGATAGGGGCGCTTCCAAGGAGAATAGATGGTGCATATCTCTCAACAGGCCCGCACACAGGATTTTTGAACGGGAGGGGGAGCACGACCTGCAAACTGGGGCCCTCCATGACGAAGGGCCCCAGGCCCCAGCCGAAAAGTTTTCCAACGCGATTATTTTTCGGTTGACTTGAAACTTAGCTTCTGTCGATGCATGATAAAACAATTACTTCAGTGCCCGTTCAATTTTCAAAGCATTTATTGTTCCATTTTTGTTTACGCAGCATGTTTCATTCAAATACGATTCAGTGAGTAGTTATCACCATCTTTACAATCACGTAGAATATTCGATTAATAAGCGTGGATGCAAGGCCCTCAGAAATCAGCGCGGGTAGCGCCTGACTGCCGGCCGGCCGACCGACCCCGGCTAGCTAGAAGAGGAGGCTAGTCACGGGTTGGCCCGGATGTGTATGAGCGGGGCAGCACCCCTTTGTCAATTCGCGTATTTATTTAGGCACATCGACATAAAAAGTCAGTACAATGATTCGTAGCGAGATCACAGACAAGAGATTTAACCTTTTCTAGACTAGTTTTGACGCTGTCAGAAATCCTAGACGACGTGTTTCATGACTTTTGTGTTCATATTTCTTCTTACGACACACGACTCTGGCATTGAAGTTTATCAGTTTCTGAATGCGATGAAGCTGGATTATGCCGCAAGCTCCATAAATTGACATACAGTACCGGATGGTTGACAGAACTAACGACAACACGACTTGATTAAGAACAGAGTGAGGTATGACGTGACTAGCATGGACTAAAGCTAACAGAGTGCCGGTACATTTTCTGACGAGGTGATCGATGTGGTTGCCGAATGTCAGATGCCTATCCATGTGTACGCCTAAATTCTTCACTGTATACCTAACCTCATTTGGGCCTTCTGGGGTCTGATTTGGGCCCTCCTGGTCTTTTTAATCATCATTTCAGCTCATTTTAGACAGTCTTCGGCGGTCTTAAGATTAGGGGCCCATTTGAGAACCATTTGAGATGGCCCCCTTTCGGATGGGGGGGGGGGGGCAGGGGCCCGTGTGTCCCCCCTCGTGTGCGCCTTTGTCTCTCAATTTCGGTAAAATGCTTTGTTGGTATATTTCGAAATTCAGACTTAAAAGTGATCGCCATTTTGCGTTCCTCCGATTTAGTTTGAACACAGTCGGATGTTGCAAATGGGATTGCAGTTCATTTATATTTACCCAAGGCCCTCTAACCGGCGCACAAATAAACGGATGTCGAGGCTTCTACTTGTAGGTACAAAAACTTTTGAAATAAAATGAATTTTAATTGTATGAACACTAAACACCCCAATGTTAGAGTCCAATGGTACAAAGTTGGGTTGGTATTACGAAATGACATTAAATTCGTTTGCACAAATATCAATCAATCAATTAAATTTATAACGAAATTGCATTTTGCCTTTTTATTCCAACCTTTTATAGAATCGAAGTGCCCTTTTTATGCTCGGCGACTGGTGACACCCACTTTTGCTGAAATCACCTTTTTATTGGGCGCCTTTCTACTCTACTGCTGGGGTCGCCTCTCTCTCTTGTTGAGGTCACCACTCTTCTGCTCGGCGGGACTTACTTCTGATGGGCGCTCCTCCTCTGTTGGGGTCTCACTTTTCTGCTGGAGTCTGACATTGCCCTTCCCGGGTATGCCCTATTTTTGCTAGAGGCGTCCCTTTTCTGCCGGGCGAGCCCAATTTCTGCTTATGTCGCTCGACCTTTTCTAATGAGGGCGCCCTTCTTGTGCTCGGCGAGCCCAACTGCCGCTTCAGGTGTCCCATTTTTATTGGATGCGCCCCCTTCTGCGGGCGGCGCCCCTCTTTTGCGGGGCTGTCCCACTTCTGCTGGAGGCGCCCCTCTTCTGGTGGCGGCGCCCCTCTTCTGGTGGAACCGCCCCTCTTCTGCGGGTGCGCGCTCTTCTGCTAGAGCGCCCCTCTTCTGCTCGGCCAGCTCAGCTTCTGCTGAAGGTGCTCGGTTATGTCTGTTGGGGGCATTGCTCTTTTGCTGGGGACCTCTGTTCTTCTGGGGATGCCCCACTTCCGCTGGGGACGCCCCACCTCTGCTGGGGGCGCCCCCGGCCCCACTGCTGCTGGACGAACCCAACTTTTGCTCCAGGTGCCCCTTTTGTATTGGGGCGCCTCTCTTCCCTAGGCACCCCTCTCCTGGTAGGGCGCCTTTTTGTGGTGTGGCGCCCCTTTCTGCTCGGGCGGCCCTATGCTGGGGGTACTCCTCTTCTGCTGGGGGCTCCCCACTACTGCTGGATGAGCCCAACTTTTGTTTGAGGTGCCCCATTTATATTGGAGTGCCTCTCTTCTTCTGGAAGCATCCCTCTTCTGGTGGGGCGCCCCCTTTCTGCTGGGGAGCCATTCTTGTGCTGAGGGCGCTCCTTTTCTGCTGGAGGCATCTCTGTTCAGGTGGGGGCGGGGCGCCCCCCTTCTGCTGGGGTGCCCTTCTTCTGCTGGGGCGCCCTTCTTCTGGTGAGGCGCCCCTTCCTGCTGGGGTCGCCCGTGTTCTACTGAGTGCGCGCTTCTACTGGGCGAACCCATGTTCTGCTTGAGGTGCCTCATTCCTACTGGGGGCGACTCTCCTCCGCTGGGGCGCCAGTCTTATGCTTGACGACCCCAACCTACGTTGGAGGTGCCCCACTTCTGCCTCGGGCGCTCCACTTTTGCTGAGAAAGTCCCGTTCTTGCCGGGGTGCCCCTTTTACCCATTTTTGGGGAACGATACGACTGGACACTTCCCCAAGCCCGCAAGCAGCACGACGCCGGTCACGAGACGGAATGTAGCCGGGAAATCACCCTCGCCATCAGCTCAAGAGCTTATCGGTGTCGGGCGGCGTGTGGGGCGCCGCTTAGCCTATGGGGGTGCACTTTGACGTGATGGGGGTGCACTTTCAAGGGATGGGGGTGCACCTGCACCCCCATACATATAGAAAGTTACACCGCTGGTTGAGACATGATTGATCTAACCTCAGGTAATCTTCGCGAAAAAATCCCAGATATCACAAGCTTTGATGACTCAGAAGCTTGTGCGTTAATGCACTCGTTTCACTCGTGCATTAACACACTCGTGCTCCAATCCATCCACGTCGTGCGTTAAAACCATTTACACACGGGAAACCATGTGTTAATATATATATATATATATATATATATATATATATATATATATATATATATATATATATATATATATATATATATATATATATATATATATATATATATATATATATATATATATATATATATATATATATATATATATATATATATATAATATATATATATATATATATATATATATATATATATATATATATATATATATATATATATATATATATATATATATATATATATATTTGTGCCTGATCATGTTCACAATTGACGTCAGAGTTCAGTGATCAAGCTTGACCTGGAAATTGGACGTGTGCCAAACGGTGTGCAATGAATTAAATGTCACATGAATCAAAGGTCAACATAGGCCCCATGGGCCAAGTCTCAGCTCTACCTACAACCCGTTCAGAGATATCGCGGTCCGGATGACGACTCGTTCGGCAGGCCGGCTGGGTTGCAATTATCTCCTCTTTTATTCCACGGTTTAAATTAAAAAGCACGTGAGAAATTATTTTGACGGTCGCGCCCGTCACCGTCTTAGGTCTAATATTATTGGTTTGTCACTACCCGCCCAGCGCTGATACGATCCGCCAGTTCCTCAAAACGACACTAGCGCCACCAGCTTCATGCAGCGTAGACACTGCTTTCCAAAATCGCCACCGCGGCGCTAGCGTCGTGGCCGACACGCTCTCGGTGGTCGCTACTTCGGAACAATCGGAAGCCCAAACAGGGCATGAGCAACGATGCAGTTTGTATTGGTTTCAAACAGCATTACGTGGTTCAAAAGCCAAATTGTGGCACACGAGGATACAATATCATACACTGTAGTTCCCACCATCGATGCAAAAAAGACGACTCGAGTTCAACTAGCGGTGACTCAACGGGCGAGGGGGCATCGCTGTCCGCGACCGTTTACTTTTTTGGCAAAATTTAATCATTTACCGTTGATGAACAACGCACACGACGGATTCATGATCACTAAATGATCGCTTTTAAATTTTTTTGCCCAATAATTTACCTGAACCTGACCTTACGTGACCTGGGGTCAGGGGCGAAGAATTGTCATAATGACCCAGGGGGTGCTTTTCAGCACCTGGCGAATCGAACTTCGAAGCGTCGAATTTTTGCGTAGAAAAGCACATATAAGTACGCTTTTCCAACAGCATCACTCTTCTCGCGACTTCGTAAAACAGTTTGTGTCTCAGACGTAATTTAAGCAACCACTGGAGTTCTATTATTCGGTGACCTTTGCATTTTAGGGGGTGCTCGAACACCCCCAAAACCCCTAATTCTCCAACCGTGCCTGGGGTTAAAATTTTACACACGATGCAAAACTAATGCAGCATAAGCTATAACGAGTTTTGCGAAGGCCGCGTTTTTTAACCCGCGCCCTGGTGGGGTCTGTTTATAACGCGACCTGGTGGGGGGGGGGGGGCTATTTTTTTTGCCCCCCTCGTATCTCCGAAACTACTGGACGGATCCGTAAAATTCAAACGCCGTTCGATAGCCCTGTCAAATTTGTCCAGGGAAACCAAATTTCATTGACCTCGGAGTCACCGATGACGTCACAGGTCAGGTCAAAGATAAAATGTTTCACCGTTCACGGGGCTTCTAGGGAAAACGCTATAACACCGAGTAAAACGCATTTTGTCGAAAATCAGCGATAAGACGTCAGTTGTCTAGTACATATGTTGCTATTAGAGG